AGGCACCACGGGAGGGCGTGATGTGAGACTTCCCGGCCAGAGCAGGTCGCGGGGAGTCGCATCGGGGCCTCAGCCGCCCTGACAGCCAGTCTTCGCCCTAACTGAGCTGGCGTCTGTTTGTACGTCTTTGTCTCCTTCTCCAGACCCAGGCCCACCCTCCCCCAGACCCGGGACCCCCTCCCCCAGAGAGACCACCCTGCCCTCGGCGATCTGCTCCCCAAATGCGTCTCCATGGCTGCAGTGCTCACTGTGAACGCCTGTTCCCTCCCGTGCACAGGGCGTGTGCATCTCCCCCTTGTACCTCATCCCAGAGGTTTCCCTGCTTGGTTTTCTCCCGCCCCTAACCTACCCCGTGGATGTCGTGTAACTAACCCCCCTTACGTCTCCTCCTTTGAGTCTAATCCTGTATAATAAAAGGCTAATATGCAAATCGGCCGAATGGCAGGACGACCGGTCACTATGATGTGCACTGACCACCAGGGGGCAGATGCTAAATGCAGAAACTGCCCCCTGGTGGTCAGTGCGTTCCCACAGGGGGAGCGCTGCTCAGCCAGAAGCTGGGCTTACAGCTGCGGAGTGCAGCGGTGGTAGCGGGAGCCTCTCCCCCGTCTGCAGCAGCACTAAGGATGTCCAACTGACAGAACCCCCCCAAAGGCTCCCAGACTGCGAGAGGGCGCGGGCTGAGCTGAGGGTCACCCCCCTCAACCACCCGCCCGCCCCCCTGGGCACTGGGCCTCTAATGTTTAGAATCAGCTGTGAAACTGCCATCCTCTGAAATGGTTTCTCAACTTGTTGAGATTTTGCTTCTGTTTGCTCCAAGCTGTGCTCATCTGTGGATGGAACGAATCACATCAATATCATATAACATGTAATGACATAGTCCGTGTAAAGTAGTAGAGGTCCCAGCATATAGTACAGGCCCCTAAACATGAACCACTGTTACTAATTAATGCCACTTCCTGGAGGTAGAAATGAGCACTGGAAAGTGTTTCTAGAAATGGCTTTTACATGCTCAATATGTATAGTATATGGATTGGGACCTATAGCCCTACCTTAATAAGTTACAAGGATATTGTATTCATCAACTACTAGTGTATGAGTTCCATGATTACAGGGCACGTATATTATTATTAAAAACTATACAGTATTTTATAGCCTCAAAAGTTAATGCTGATCCTACTTTTACCTTTCAAATGTGAACTTGTTATTCTTTTTAAAATTAGAGATCCCAAAACATTAGGTTTTCAAAAACTCATTTCAAGTTAATGAAACTGAAAAAAAGGAGAATAGTGGAAAATATAAAATTTATATAAAAGGCAAATTTATTAACACAAAGGACATAACACAGGTGACACATAGTCACTTAGGCTAAGAAAATGTAGGTACAAACGTTTGAATGAGATGATCAATTGCATCAGATTTTGAGGAAACACACAGCTACAGTATTTCCAAACGTCCTAAAATACACAGAGCCGGGTTACGTGGGGACCGGGTCTGGGTACCTGGAATGACGACCGTGACAGAGCCCAGCGGGAGGAGACCCCGTTCGGAGAGAACTTGCATGGGGTTGTTTTGGTTGGTTGGTTGGTTTTTGGTTAACAAATAAAATCAAGGCGTTTTACTTTTCCGTCTCGTTTACGTTGGTAAAAACCCGAAGCCTTTACCCACGCAGCTACCACACGATTCACATCCGCACGCGACTTCTATCAAAAGCAGCCCAGACGCGGTTAGGAAGGAAACACTTCACTCCCGGCCGTCTTCAGTGTCCCGGTCTCCGCCCAGCTCCCTCCTGAGTGCAGTTCCCAGGAAAAGCCGTTTGCAGATGCAGCCCCTGGCGCAGACCTGCCCTGTACAAACTGCTGATTTAATCTGGGAGGAAAGGCAGGCCTCGGGCCAGAGCAGCCGGAGCCGGAGAACGGCACCCGGAAGCCATGGCGGTGCCTTCACCCGCCGATCAAAGCCTTTTGCTCAAACCTGTTATGACCCAGGTGCACCCGTTGCTAAGCCGCGTTTCAATCCTTAGTATTCAGTCTCCAGCCTTCTTGCCCCAGGCCCCCGAGGGCACTGGTGGGCTCTGGACTCCGTGGAGGGACCCGCATCTCCTTTAGAATAAGAGCCACAGGAGCCGACTTGGTCTCTGGGAGACAGGATCGCCCCTCCCATCCGTCCTGAGGAATCCCGGCGACAGATCACAGTCCGCAGGAGGCGGCTCAGGTCAGGGAGGACAGGCCGCACTGCGGTGAGAAGCAAACCTCCGGACAGACCCGCGGGGGCGGCCTGTCTCCTGGGCTGCGCTCTGAGCTCCACGGAACCCCCTCAGTGACCGACCGACCGACCGGGTGGGTGGGGGCGCCCCAGGTGAGAAGGCGAGTCCAGGCCCGCGGGCTCCGCTTGTAGGAAACAGTGGGCATTGGGGCCACCTGCGAGGTGAAGTCAAAACCTCCACACGGCACAGGCGGCATGGCTCGGGGGTCGAGTGTCGACCTGTGAACCAGGGGCTCAGGGTTCGACTCCTGGTCAGGGCTCATGCCCAGGCTGCGGGCTCCAGTGCAGGGCGTGCAGGAGGCAGCTGGTCCATGATTCTCTCATCATTGATGCTTCCATCTCTCTCTCCCTCTCCCTTCCTCTCTTAAATCAAGAAAATACTCAAGAAAAAAACACTTAAAAATAAAACATTATGGTCTCTATATAATAAAAAATAAAAAGAAGAAAAAACAACCCTGCCCACCTACACGTACTGGCTTCGCG